GTTGTTTAGCAGGCCCAGGCTGGGCTCAAACCTGCCAGCTTCAGTATATATGGCTAATGCCCTACTCACTGGGCCATGGGTGCCGAGCCAAGATAAAAATATTTTAAAATTATCTTTTTGGACTAGTTAGTACAGCTGAATGGTACCAGACTCAGCAGTTGCCGAAGGAGGCTCAAGAATTGCCAGGGAGCCTCCCTCTCAGTCCAGCTGCAGCCACGGGAGTCACACTAGAGTCACTGCTGTCACTCATGTCTTTCCTACCTTCCCAATAGTTGTCTGTATTTATATGGTGTGTGTACTTTTTGATGCAAATGAGCCATAATTTGGCTGACATACTTTATTTATTTATTTTTTGAGACAGAGCCTCAAGCTATCCCCTTGGGTAGAGTGCCGTGGCATCATAGCTCACAGCAACCTCCAACTCCTGAGCTCAAGCGAGTCTCCTGCTTCTGCCTCCCAAGTAGCTGGGACCACAGGCACCCACCACAATGCCTGGCTATTTTTTTTGGTTGCAGCCATCATTGTTTGGCGAACCCAGGCTGGATTCGAACCTGCCACCTTAGGTATATGTGGCTGGCGCCTTAGCCACTTGAGCCACAGGCACCGAGCCTGTCTGACATACTTTATGCTTATTTGTTTGTGGTCTTTTTCTGGTACTGTCATGTTATCTTCTATTCTGTTCATTGTTGTACAAACACTTAGGTTACAATGTTTGCATTTGTAAGGTAGAGTCTTTGTTGTAGTATATTAATATTTATTGAATGTGAAAGCACTCAATAAACTAGGAATAAAAGGAAAGGTAATCAAGTGATAAAGGCCATGTACAGACCCCCCCACAGTTAGCATGATACTCAAAAGTGAAAGTCTGAAAACATTTCTCCTGAGCTCTGCAACAAGACAAGGATGTCTATTTTTACCCCTTCTATTCACCATTGTATTGAAGTTCTAACCAGAGCGATATTAGGCAAGAAAATGAAATAGAAGGCATCTAGATTGACGAGTAAGAAGTAAAATTATCTGTTTGCCAATAACATAATTTTGTATGTAGAAAATTCTAAGGGATCCACATACAAAACTATTAGAACTTAAAAAACATATTCAGCCAGACTGTAGGATATACAAACATCAGTTCAGTTTCTTTATGGTAGCAATGAAAAGTGAAATTAGGAAAACAATTCCTAAAGCATCAAAAAGAATAAAGGAAATAAGAAAAATTTATCAAAAGAAGTATGAATATGCCAGAAACTCCAGAACATCATTGAAAGCAATTTTAAAAACTTAAACAAATGCAAAGATACCCTGCATTTGTGGATTGAAAGGCTTAAGACTGTTAAGATGGCAGTGGTACCCAAATTAATCTATAGATGCAATGCAATTACTATCAAAACTCCAACTGGCTTTTTTTTTTTCAGATGTTGACAAGTTGGGGCGGGCATGCCTGTAATCTCAGCATTCTGGGAGCCTGAGGCAGGTGGATTGCTTGAGTCAGGCATTTGAGACCAGATTGAACAAAAGCAAGACCCCCATCTCTAGAAATAGCTGGGTGCTGTGGCAGGTGCCTGTAGTCCCAGTTACCTGGGAGGCTGAGGCAAGAGAATCACTTGAGCTGAAGAGTTTGAGGTTGCTGTGAGCTATGATGCTAAGGCACTCTACAGAGGATGACTGAGTGACACTCTGTCTCCCCCTCACCCAGAAAAAGGAATTGACAAGTTAATTAAAAAGCGAAGTTGGAAGATTATACTTCTTGATTTCAAAACTTACTACAAAATTATACTAATCAAGACAGTGTGGTATTGGTATATAAAGACAGACATATAGACCAATGGAATAGAATTGTAAATTTAAGCCAGGCATGGTGGCTCATGCCTGTAATTGCAGTACTTTGTGAGATGGAGGTGAGAGAATCGCTTGATCCCCAGAATTTGAGGCTGGACTGGGTAACACAGCAAGACCCTCTCTCTACAAAAAGCTAGCTGAGAGTACAAAACTCTTAGAAGAAAACATAAGCTGGCTTGGCGCCTATAGCTCAACCGGCTAAGGCGCCAGCCACGTACACCTAAGGTGGCGGGTTCGAATCCCCAGCCAGGACCCACCAAAACAACAATGACGGCTGCAACCAAAAAATAGCCGGGCGTTGTGGAGGGCGCCTGTGGTCCCAGCTACTTGGGAGGCGGAGG